GATGTACTCTGAACAGGATACAACTTGTTGCAATTCTATTTAAATTATGGCTATTCCCACCCCCTAAAACTGTCTCTTATATAAATTGAGTATATACAGGCAAAGCTGTGTCTTCTTTGGTGATGGATAAATGGCGACTCTACCACTTTCATGAGAATATCCAGGGCATTACATGTGACTCAGCCTCTAGTCCAGGGATGGCTTCCTTCCAGATGCTGTTGGACTCCCAACTTCCATCAGCTCTAGCCAGCATGACCAAAGGGTGGTGGAAGTGATACTTCAGGAGCATCTGGAGGAACACACCCCTGCTTTGTTCTCCATGGCACCTGGCTCCACAGTCTGCAGAGATCCACCACCAGCAACGCACACACAAAGGCCTCACAGAATTCAGCTGGGTTGCTAGCGCCTCTGTTCTTCTTCTTCCAGGGTCTCAGTCAGGTGGTAGGCAACTTGTGACCCTCCAGATGTTGTTGGGCTCCAGCTTCCATCAGCCCCAGCCAGCAGGGTCAGTGGTCAGGGATGATGGGAGCTGGAGTCCAGAAACAGGTTGTCTAGCCCTGCTCTAAGCTTTCCTGCACAGCTCCAGCATACCACTTGAAGTGTGAGAGAAGGAACCAGAGCAGTTTTTTTAACTTCAAGAAGCCTAGTTTGAGCTAGTCAGGAGACCCACATGAGTCCCGATTCTTCACAACTGGGAACCTTCATGCATTTCACAGAATTATATTAATGCAGTATACATTGCTGGCTGGCTGTCTTAAAAGCCAATTTAAGAGGGTGGCAGCATCAACTTTCTAAAAGCAAACAATTGCAAGCTGAGTGCCCTCTCTCGCAGCTGGGAGAGCGATTGTAATCTGCAGGGTTCGCATGCCGGTGACAACCCGCTAAACAAGCAGTGTAAGCAGCTTAAAAATAGATCTGCACAGTGATTATTATTTCCACACTGCTGCTTCATTTTTCTGCTATAGCTTTTGGTAGCAATACAGGCAGGCATCCTTTTAAGTCTATAGGCATTAGTGTCTCCTGGGGATACAGCTGCAGCCATCGAGGAGCTAATATTTCCATCTTGAATGTTTTCATATCTATTAATCTCTTATTTTTTTCCCTTTGAAAACTTGTGCCATAAGGAGGAACAGGAATCAGGTCTACAGCAGAGAGGAGGAACCTTTGGTCCTCCATTTGTTGCTGATCTTCCACTCCCATCAGCCCCAGCAAGCATGGCCACAGATGATGGGAGTTGTAGTTTGACAACATCTGGAGGGTCAAAGATTCCCCATCCCCCTTCTGTGGTTTGCAGTGGGATTAGCAAGTTCATTAGCAAATTGCCAAGTTCATGTGATTGTGGACTTTTTCCACCAGTTTTGCAGTAGGTTTCTCTTGGGATGGGAGAACCTGAAAAACTAGGCTATAAGCTTTGGACATAAGTTTCTAGGACCCACTTCAAGATATGTAGGGCTAGCCTGCAGTCAGTCAGTTGTGGTTCTCCTGAGATGGAAACTGCCGGTGGTAGAATAATTTGGAGGTTTGTTGAACCTTTGACCCTCCACATATTGCTGAACTACAACTCCAGCCAGTCCCAGCCAGCATAGCCAATGGCCACTAAGGATGGGAGTTGCAGTTCAGCAACTGCTTGAGGGACAAAGATTCATCACACCTCATCTATAGACTTAACTCCTTCCTATAGATAGGCTTGTAGGAGGAGAATATGGTAGGAATATGGCTATTCTCCCACTTCTTTTTCTCAAGGAGGTGGGTCAATTTTTTAAAAAGGTGTAATTCCTCCCTCTTGCAGAATCTGAAAAAAGCCTCTTTTCAGTGCACATGGACTTTGGAATCCCTGGCCCAGAGATTCTCCCATACCTGATGGTCTTCTATTGTAAAGACCATCCTTTTAAGTAAGGCCCCTGGTTGCTATTTTATTAAACTGTTACTGAGTTTTTAGATGTTGTGCTAACAGTGAGGCGAACGTGCTCCTACCAGGGGAACTGGAGCCCGAAGGGACTTTACACCTGTTATTGTGATGTCTGTTGCTGCCTTATGCACAGGAGTAACTGTGCAGGAACTCCACTTTCTTTTTCCTTTTAGGATGCCCTTCATTTGTTTGGTAAAGGCTTTAATTCTGCCACACAATTTCTTTGTTGCTAGGGTGTCGCCGACAGGGATCCCCGTCTCCTCTCCTCCCTCTAGTTTGATCTGGCTTCAGCTGCCCTATGGCTATAACTGTCAAGGGCAAGGGTTCTCTAGTCTGAATTGTGAGGTAGGCGATGTCTCAGGATGGACAAGTAGAATGGGGGCTGCTGCTGTTACAGCGCATGAGGCAGTCAGTTAGTTGGAGGACAGGGATGCTACCAAGAAAGGCAGGCCTGTCAGGCAAAATAGCAAGGGTGATGGTGGATTGGTCATGTGAGTTGAAGGACCAGGTGCGCAGCCTGGGAGTCATTTTGGACTCACAGCTGTCCATGGAGGCGCAGGTTAACGCTGTGTCCAGGGCAGCTGTCTACCAGCTCCACCTGGTACACAGGCTAAGACCCTACCTGCCCGCGAACTGTCTCGCCAGAGTGGTGCATGCTCTAGTTATCTCACGCTTGGACTACTGCAACGCGCTCTACATGGGGCTACCTTTGAAGGTGACCCGGAAACTGCAATTAATCCAGAATGCGGCAGTTAGACTGGTGACTGGGAGTGGCCGCCGGGACCACATAACACCGGTTCTGAGAGATCTGCATTGGCTCCCAGTACGTTTCCGAGCACGATTCAAAGTGTTGGTGCTCACCTTTAAAGCCCTAAACGGCCTCGGTCCTGTATACCTGAAGGAGCGTCTCCACCCCCATCGTTCAGCCCGGACACTGAGATCCAGCGCCGAGGGCCTTCTGGCGGTTCCCTCATTGTGAGAAGTGAGGCTACAGGGAACCAGACAGAGGGCCTTCTCGGTAGTGGCGCCCGCCCTGTGGAACGCCCTCCCATCAGATGTCAAAGAGATAAACAATTACCTGACATTCAGAAGGCATCTTAAGGCAGCCCTGTTCAGGGAAGTTTTTAATATGTAACGCTGTACTGTTTTTAACACTGATTGGGAGCAGCCCAGAGTGGCTGGGGAAACTCAGCCAGATGGGCGGGGTATAAATAATAAATTATTATTATTATAAGGTGGGAGGTGTAATACGACAACGTCGGAAGACCAGATTGTCAGTTTGCTTTTCTTAGTACAGAAAGTATTGATCTGATGTGTGATCTTTCCTATTCTAATTAATTCAAGAGGGTACTGGGAGCTTCTCTGTGTGAAAGAAACACGCAGAAACTTCTTGATGTTTGGGTTATTCCTTCAGAAAAGCCGAGTACAGCTGGCTTAAACTGGTTGTTATCTCTTCTGTCAAGGTCACGCTGACTATAATTATAGGCCAGGAGAAGCCTGAGTTTCACTTTCTCTTTCTATCTCTCTTCTTTCTGGTGTGGTGTTCTGTACATAGTATGGTTAGTGTCAAGGTTTAGACTTAATAGAAGTTACTGTAAGTTTAAGTGAAGTCTGCTGCAACTGAATTTCTTATGGACAGTGCCAATCCTGAATGTACAGTGGTACCTCGGGTTAAGTACTTAATTCGTTCCGGAGGTCCGTTCTTAACCTGAAACTGTTCTTAACCTGAAGCACCACTTTAGCTAATGGGGCCTCCCGCTGCTGCCGCGCCGTTGAGAGCACGATTTCTGTTCTCATCCTGAAGCAAAGTTCTTAACCTGAAGCATTTTCTGGGTTAGCGGAGTCTGTAACCTGAAGCATATGTAACCTGAAGCGTATGTAACCTTAGGTACCACTGTATTGGATTTGTGACCATTATGCTCATTTGCCTTCAGTAGTAATTAAAGCTCTGCTGGATGAAATGCAATTGCCTCTGGTCTATTTTTGGGGAATCCTGCAGCGTGTTGCAAGTTGTTACTCTGCTAACTATACATTGGAATCTACTTTGGATCGATTCCATGCCATGCAATTAGCAACTGCTGCCATACTATGGAGTGGGGGGTGGAATGTCTCTCCGCCCCCTCAGCTCTTGAATATTGCCCCAAGAGTGTGCACCTAGGTTGGCTGCAGGTCCCCTGCCCAGGAAGTGATGTGGGTGTTGTGTGAGCTGTTTTCTTTTCCTTTTGCATATTGTGCTCCAAAATGGTACTCATGAGCAGCGAAGGGGACTCAAACTCCTGCCTGGAGTGGTGCCTGGTGACTTGGCCACTTGCTGGCTGTGTCACCAGGTTGTGACACAGGGGTGTGCATTGGCAGGCATTTCTCAGCTCACTCTGTGGGCAATTCCTACCTTGATGGCTTTGACAGTGCTTCCATGGAGATTGGGAGGGTGCCTGGTGTTTTGTGCTGTTCCAGCAGTTGTTAGCACAGGAAGGGGAAGAGCACACAGGATATCGTGGCTGTTCCGCAAGCAAAATGGCAGCATATTCCACGCCCCATCCCCTGTCCCTCAGCACAGGGTTATCTGGTAAATAGCTTAACCTGAGCATAATAAGTAGTGGACTATACTACTTTTTCTATTTTTAAATCCTGGAAGTGCTAGTTTATTATTTAGGCAAAAATGGATTTAAGTTAATTAAGAGAGTCAGCTTTAACTTGGGTGCTGAAAATCGTAATACAATATCTTCATGTGTCCTCAATTAACATTTTGTTCTTGGGGTTTTTGGTGTTGTTGTTAAAGAAAGGCAGCTGCCACATTCATTCTACATATGCACAATACTTTCTTACTTTGGTAATCCAGGATCACAATTTAATGATTTATTCACATTTGTTTGTACAAGAATCAGATGGCATATACTAAAAAGACATTTAATTAAAAAAAAAGTATATACGTTTACATCAACAGAAGATGAAATATAAACCTTTTCTACTCACAGTCATTCTATACATATTATAATAAACAAATCACAAATCTGTCACGCAATATAAACGTTTAGTTGTTATAATGTAACAACATACAGAAAACCTTTATAAAATTTTGCTTTCGTTTTAGGTTTTAAATCTTACCATTAACTAAAATGAGCTGTGCGGGATGTTTGGGGTACATGACTAAGGCACCAACAGTACAAAGCAAATACAAAAGCAGAAATATTTCCTTGGGAGTGCTCTACGCTGAAACACCACAAGAAAAGGCAACAATAGTAAGTTAAACCTGCTGCAGCCTTTACAAGTTTCTTCTGGGGTCACAAGGTTAGTCCTATGGTTGAATTTCTTCCAATATATCGCTTCAGTTCTGATCACAGCACATGCTACAACACTGATGGCTAGGATGAACTTCACCAAGGTGCACTTTTCATTAGCGTCTTGTATTTCAGACAAATCATTCAAGCCAAAGCATAAATGCATTTTAGACTTATGTGAAAAAAGGATTTCTTGGACTTAAACTGCAACACTTACAAAAATACTTTCCCTTAAACTTGGGATTGCTTCAAAACATTGCTTTATAAATATAGAAGTACTATGCAAAGGACTAAAAGTGAAATCATAAGTATGTATACCCCCAATCTGAGCTATTTTAAAAATTGGTTTATTAAGCAAGCATTTGGGATAGATACTGAACTTACAGAAATCAACATACCCTTTAAGAATTTACAATCCCCATGACAGCTTCTTGGCTGATGTATTTCTGACAAATTATAAATATACCATAGTGTAGCACGTAGTATATATAGCACATTATGCTCAGTAGCAGAAGCAATAAGGTCTGCATGGCCCCAAAGTCCAAGGTTCAATCCCTGGCACCTCCGGCTTAAAAGTCTATCGCAGAGCAGGGCTGGGAAAAACCTCCCCATTAATGATATCTGAGAGCCACTGCAAGTACTTTGGTAGATGTGCCAATGATCTGACTCTAAGGCGGCTTCATAATTAAGTATTTTAAAGCAGTAACAAAATTGCTTGCCTTCAATTACCAAAGTCCTCCTGCAGCTCTCATATCTTACCTATGTGATAATACAGTTACCAATTAAAACACACATTACGAGGCTTCCCATGTATGGCACACACGTATGGCTTGGGGGGGGGGGAATAGGCCTCAGAAAGCAAAAGTTCAATCAATCACAGCCAGGAAACATAATTTTCTTGGATTATACCACTGTGAATTGCAGGGTCTTACTAGCCAAAGACTGGAATGTTTGGCAGCTTGCATATGTTGCAGCTTACAGGAGCTGAACGGAGAATGTGCACAAACTGACGGAATGAATAGTGTATATATTGCCTGATCAATATGCATAGTCTCCAAGCTGAATATGAAGCTATCCAAAGGATTTCATATAGTGACCGGTGAATATGCACATTCTGCACTCAACTCACATCAAACCCCAAATACGCATTTCTTATACCAAAGATCCCTGAACAAACTTTAGTATAACTGCATACCTATATTGGTAACATGAGCTCATGTTCTCCATCACTTTAGTAGGAATTCCTGGGACAGTCATGCAGAAATAGACAGGTAATAAAAACCCATTGGTATAAGCATTTATCTTAAAAATATTTCCTGTTGAAAATCCTGCTTTTATGCTCAAGGTGGAATTTCACTCCTTAAAACATTTGATGTCTGCAATTAGTGCTTTCAAGTCAATCTGTTTTAAAAGCAGACAGAGGTAATGCCTCAAAGCACCAGATATTAGTAAATTGTGCCCATGGCTTCTTTTGTAGAGTTGTAAATCCAAGGTAATGTTCATACTACTAAAGTTAAATCTCCAAAGCATAACTGCAAGGAGTAAATGAAAAGCTGGCAAAGCTCTTAATAAAACGGTGGTGTTATTTCAGTAGAGCTTTTCTAACAGTCAAAACTCACCAAGTTAATTCTGTAATGATCGTACAGGCAGAGCCTAGGGCTATAAACTGAATGAGGTGCAGGCATTTGGCTAAGATATGATTTGTAAAACGACCAAGAAAAGTTTCCACCCGAGTACAAACAGCGAAGGGTAGAATCCTAACAAAACTGACATCTTTGCAGTTTTCCCAACTATGTCCCCTACTCGTGGTTTACAAAGAAGTAGTACTATGGACCATAAGAGTTAATAGAAAATGCCCTTTGAAGACAAACTTTTGTTTACTAAAAGTTAGTCTGCTTAAACAAATTCCTAAATTATACATTAAGAAAATGTTTGGATTCTGGGTCCTATAAGCACCCTTTTATACTGGGCCCTGAATTCAGTTAAAGTGCCTGTAGCTACAATCCTAAAGTCATTTACTCAGAAGTAAACCTCATAGAGTTCAATGGGACTTACTCCCAGGTAAGTGTGCATAGGATTGCAGCTTAAGTCTCAATGAGACAAGTAAACATGCTTAGGATTATGCAGCATGCCCCATTGGAACCAATCAAAACTAGTTTAGGTGTGACTAGCCAGTGTCCCAATACTTTCAATGGGATTTGGTTATCACTAACTTGAGGTGGATAGGGGCCTGGAACCATCCTATGTATCATTACTTGGGAGTTGTTCTGTCAATCTCAGTAAATATATAAAATGATAGGGCTGCCAAGAGTCTAGGTTAATGCTTTCTAAATTATACTGCAGATAAAATTAGTGCTATCACCACCAGCGAGTGTCCTTTAATACAACAGACGTCAGATTCCCATCTAAATGCTTTATCAAAGAGCAAATAAAATTATTTGAAAGGTTAATGTAAAGATACAAGATTAAAATTTATTTTTGATTAATTACAAGTGCGTCTTTGTTCGCATTAGTAAGCGTTCTTTATACAGTCTATTCTTCACTGCTGCCAAAACACAACAGAGCAGAGAAAAAACAGCTAAAACAAAACTATTTTTTCCTAAGTTATTTGCTGGATAGAATTTAATTCAACACAACTCGGAGGTAACTTTTTCAATTGTAGGCATGTGGCACTTAGACAATCATCTTTGCACAGAAAGCCTGTAACAGTCATGCGAGGGCACAGTAATTATCTTAAACAAGGCAAATTTCTCACCACAGAGCAGTGGGGAAAGTAAAGGAGGCACTGCACTGGAACATTACACCTAGTAAACTCCACATGATACAGTTTCAGAAACAAATACTTAAAGAGCTATCATTAGAAAAGGTAAAGTGTTCAATGAAACATGATTTAGTGATAGCTTCGTTTGGTGGCCCTAAATCAGCATTATCAATAAACAATTTAACTGAGCAGTAGATCAAATCAGAGCCTATCACCACAGGGAAGATTACAGCAAGGTAAATTCTAAATTTCTTATTCAAAGATGCAGTGTTCCTTTGTCAGAGCCCTCCATGTAAATTCAAAAATTGTAAAGATACCTGAAGTGTTTCATTGGTATTTAATATGTAGACTGAGTTCACATATTCATATGAATATTTCCACTCACTAATGAATACCACATGGCGCCTTTCCACAACAGAAAACTACCGAGGATGAAATGTGGTTATCTAAATTACTCTCTCACTGCTATTGAGCTGCTACTTTCTGTCTGCAAGGCTATCATTCTAAGAATACCTACTCGCCTACTGAACTCACTGGGATTTACTTCCGAGTAAACATGCTTAGGATATGAATATCTTTCAAATATGACAGTAGATGCTTTGGGAGTACCATTCAAATTGAAAATTGTTGACGTACCTAGGACTGCTGAAAGATGACAGAATGGCCCCCTGCCCATCATTATGGTTTGGTTAACAAAGCAAGATTTCTGGATGCCCTAGTAAAATGCCCTGCAATAAATAATTTACATGTGTAGAAGAAATCAGAGCAAGTGCATGATTTTAATATTAATGTCACCTATGCTGTCACTCTGTCCATCTGCACTGTGCATGTTAGTAACCACTACTGCTTAAAGAAGTGCAAAAGAGTGGAGGATGCCACTGATTAAAGTGCCCTAAATTGTAGCTTTTTCTTTAAAAAATAAAAATGCTACTAACAAAACAAATCTAGAAAATAAAACAGTTCATGATGTAGAAATCTTTGTCTGCCACCTTCTAGGTTAAAATCTGGGGATGAAACACTGCATCTTTCAAAACAGAAAAGGAAGCAGTATTGTCAGCAGTAGGTGCATATGGAAGTACAGTACTGCATAAAGGTCAGTAATGGACATTACACACAGGAATATCAGTGACAATTTTGTCAGGCATAAATAAAGAATCCATTGAAAGCATAAAAGCCAGGACTACCAGAAATGGTTCTCCTGAATGGCTTGAAGTGGTTAGTGGATAAGCTGAAATAGGCCACAAGGCATGACCATAGATAAAGAACCAGGAAGATAACATCTATGTGGAGTATGTCCAGCCCTTGAACTCCTTTTTCCTGGGGAGGCAAAGAGGAAACAAGTTTTAATAAAGAACTGTGTGTGCATTTATTGATAAAGTAGAAATGAGACACAACCATCAAATTACAGCCCTCAAAAAAGCAAACCAAGGCAGCTGAACCAACCTTCTTGAAAAGTATTTCTCTCCTGTCTTCACTTAAATATTCTGAAAGACCTTCTGCAACGTCTTTAAGAAGGGTAAAGCAGGTAAATAATCCAAACAGTACTGGATTTAATACTCTACTGAAATATCCAATTGTGTCCACTATTTACTAATCAAATGTAAATTATGATCTACCCCCAGGTGTACCCAGAGCACATTTGACTAAAATTTGTAGTGTGGGAGATATGCAGTCAAATCTAACAATGCATATTCCTGCTAGTTAACATGTGAAGGGGTTAAGACCATAGAGCTGTATTGCTGATAGGCAAACTCAGGCTGTAGAATCATAGAATCATAGAGTTGGAAGAGACCACAAGGGCCATCGAGTCCAACCCCCAAACGTGTGATGTCATTTCCCCCTTCTCTCCTAGGGGGGAAGAAGCAAAAGAAGTATTTCCTGTTCCCTCTCTCTCTCTCTCCTTCATACTGTGTGAGCAGATGAACATGTCTTGGTCTGCCCCAAGCCTAGATTCCATTTTGAAAATATTCCATTTTGTACCTCAAAAATATTTTACCTGCATTTGTTTTTGCTGCCAAGGACATGCTTGACTGTGAGTAAAATATATGTTTTAAACTTAATTTTCAGTCTGTAGCCTGTTTCTTTGATAAATGGGATAATAAAGGGAGAAATCAGCCTAACAGCTAAGTCCTATGCTTTCAATTAAACTGCTTAAGATGGGATTTAAACTCTGCTCAGTCCCATGCTTTTAAGTGCAAGCGCTAAGCTTATCCCTTTGGCTGCTAACCCACATATCTGGGTCTGTAGGGGAATAATATATAGTTGATTACATTCCCTCACCTACCTAATAATGCCCATCATAAGGTTATGGGCCCAGTGTAGGAAAGTTCCAGAGATTTCTGAGGTTTTTTACTATTTATTGAAAATTATTTTTAAACTGGTGACATATTTTTTTGTTTTGTTTCCTCAAAGTCACAAGGGCTCTTTTGTTCTAGTGTTAGAGGATCAACTCGCCTGCCCTTTTCCTCCCCTTTCCTTTGCAACACAGCAATGAGACTTGAGGGTTTTTGACTTCTATTTTGCTTTTTGAGGCTATTTGGATTTTTAGCTTTGTGATTTTGAGTCTTTATTTTGAATTTTGGGCGGTTTTAATTATTTTTATTTTTGGACCATTTTTCAATTTGGGGCCAAACTTTTGTCTTTTTGATTTTAGGATGGCTAGCAGGGAATTAATTCCCTTGCAGAAGAAGGCCCCAAGTTACCCAAGATTACTCAAGAATGATATCTCCAGTAATTCAAGATTTATAAAATAATTACTTTAGAAAAATGTCATCAACCATTTTGTGTCTGTTATTTTCTTGCGCCAGTTTTACACAGTAAGACTAAAATTCAATGTACCTGTATGTCATTTAGGATCTGTATCCTGGCTGGAATCTAGCAGTTTCCTCAAAAATCAGTTCTTTCAGTTTTTCCTTTGGTAAGTCATCCAGCTCCATGTCAAACTTGAAGGGTGCTTCAGCTACAGGCTAACAACAACAGCAACATGAAATCTTTTAGTAAACCTGTTTACAAATTTGTTCCAAACCACCATAGGAAACAGGGAGGTAACAGAGAGGTAAAGGTAAACTACTTTGAGGACCAGGTGGTTTAAAAGCAGGATATGTCTTTAAAAAATAATAAAGCATAGCAAAATTAGTTTTACGATTCATTTAGTAACCAAAGAGGAAGCAGAGGCCAACTGTGTGTTACTTCTTACATTTTTATAGGAAATTTTCATGCAGTGTTCTTGTCAGATTAGGTCTGAGTTGTTTCCAGTTATGTGAAGACAGTCATGTCTATTCGTCAGAGTGAAAGTGTCTAACAGAATGTGTTAAGAACGCAATGAAGTGTATGAAATCTTTATCCTGTGTAATACAGCAAGTTATTACAAATAACATGAGCTTATGGCTCTTGTACAATGGCATTGTTTGTGGGGTCTAAACACAAATGCTACAGATACATGGACATAAACAATTATGTACATACATCTGGGGGCTCTGACTGACAGGAATTGTTCATCATATGTTCACCTGTGTTGACAGACACTTGTCATGGGAAACATTGGTGTAGCTATTGTAGATGGAACAGTTGTTTTTGCTACATAAAATGTGGCACTCCTCTCAGAATTTAAAACCTAAGGCATCTTTTGAGAGCCAGTATGGTGTAGTGGTTAAGAGCGGTAGTCTTGTTATCTGGGGAACCGGGTTCGCGTCTCCGCTCCTCCACATGCAGCTGCTGGGTGACCTTGGGCCAGTCACACTTCTTTGAAGTCTCTCAGCCCCACTCACCTCACAGAGTGTTTGTTGTGGGGGAGGATGGGAAAGGAGAATGTTAGCCGCTTTGAGACTCCTTAAAGGGAGTGAAAGGCGGGATATCAAATCCAAACTCTTCTTCTTCATCATCTGATAGTCACATGGTGTCAATTGTCTAATATTAACCCATCTAAACATAAATATCTAAATATCACTCTTTATTACTATGATCACAGATCAGGCATTAAATTACAATCAAACAAAAACAAATTTACAGTTTCCAGGCCAGTAAACAACTACAGTCATACCTTGGTTCTCAAATAGAGCGTCCTGCAGCCAATCGGAAGCCGCGCCGGACGTTCGGCTTCCAAAAATGTTTCGAAAACTGGAACACTCACCAGGTTTCAATCATTCGAGAACCAATTTGTTTGGGAGCCAAGGCATTTAAGATCCAAGGTACGACTGTATTTGGAATTAAGAGAATGGCAAAGGGCTAGGATGTGTGAGCATTGTCACACACTCACAATCACACTAGAATGGATTGCTGAATGTTAGTGAGTGTGCTTGCACAGAATTTTGTCACTTTCACAGTGATTTTGTTAGTGGAGCCTGACAAAAGAAGGGAAATGTAAAAATTATCAGATCTGCCTATAAATGTAAATATAAAATTACTTACTTACTAGTACATATAAAATTATGAATTTTGTTTGTGATTTACTTGCTAGCTTCCTCTATTCCCCAAACTATTCTAAGCATCTATTTAAAGAATTTCAGTGATTTCAAACCAAGTAAAATAAAATGTTCCCCTACCTCATCACTTGGATCATAATACTGCTCTAGATATGGATGCGCCAAAGCTTCTTCCACTTCAATTCTTTTATGAGGGTTGAAGGTCAACATTTTATCCAACAAATCAAGAGCTATAATAGAGAAAGCTAGAATCAGTTTGTGTTGTAATGCAGCCATATTAATTCAGCACTGTTCTTTCCTTCATGCATGATTCAGAGCGGTTCTGAATATGTTTAGCAAGCAGCACAAGACATATATATCCTAATTCAAAACACAGAAATTGGAGGGTGGGAAGAAAAATAGTTTATAGGAGAACAAACCAAATCCCACAACCTCCCTAACAGGTTCCAAGGCATCATTGAATGCTTTATGGGACTCTGGACTGGACTTACTGCTCATCTGCTCCCAAGAAAAGTACTTGCAAGTGTGCTTGTCTTGGGTTACTTGCCAGCCCTCTGCTCCTGATCTTGCTGGACACTGCCACAATCAATGTACTTATGTCTTTCTGCCCCAGAAGGGTGCAAAAGAAGCCAAGGAGGCTCCCTACCTCTGCTCATCACCAAGGACTCAGCTATACAGCTGCAAATAAAATGTTTTAAGTGTGTTGCAAAGTGCAAAATACAAATGTGACACTGGATGGCAACAGTGAGCTATGGCAACTTCAATATATTTTTCAAAACTTTTTTAAAAAAAGCATTTTTACAGTGTTTTTATGTGTGTGTAGATTTCACCCAAACATGAAATGCAAAGCCCATGTGCACTGTGTGCATGTCCATCGCGCCTGGGCCTTATTTCCAAGCTTTGTTAATCTGGAGTCAAGCACAATTGATAGAGGTTCACTCCCAACTCCAAAAGAAAAAAGCACCAGCTAAAAACAGTTTCATGAGCATTTGGCCAAGTAATGTCTAGAGTGAGCAACCATCCTTCAGAGTGCCACTGACCACCAGCACATGAAGTGATTAGCCCCAATGAATATGAACTAGGAACAGAAATTAGCAAACTACAAATCTCTAACTTTTTTGTGATTTAAAGCTCTTTACAAGCTGCCATGAATCTGATACCAAACACAAATATAACATAGTTTATATAGTTATATTCTGCGAAGGGAGATTTAATGGCAAAGATTTTAGCCCTTGCTACATTCAATGGTCACAAATCTTGCATCACTGTATTCCAGTTGTTATCTCAAGCTTTTTATGTTACCTTTGGGGTCAGCATTTGGAAACAGCCTGTTCCATGGCACCTTGTTTTTGTACGGAAGAGAAAGCAAATAGTTTCTGGCTTTCAAATTGATTATGCAGTTCAAGTCTTCTTGAGAAGGAGATCCAAGTATTCCTACAATTCAATAAAATAGAGAAAAGAGTATTATTGTGGAAACAAAGCACTTGAATGCATTTGATAAAGATTAATATCAAGTTTCTTAAATCTGTTATCATTTACTAGATTGGGTGTACTAATAGATGCAGGTGTGTCACTGAACAACCACCTGTCATTTGTGGTACTGAGCACCTTCCACTAATTAAGGTTATTTCACCAGCTGCTGCCTTTCCTGACATTATCCCTGCTCTGGTTACCTCCAGATTCAACCCCTGCTCAGGGGCTGACTTTGGAAACTGGTTGGAAGCAGTTGCTAGTAATCTGGAAGCTGTATCTTAAATTAACTGGGAGCAGCACTGAAGGGAAATTATATGGTATTCTTTAACTATCTCAAACTAGTTCCTATCTGTGTACCAATGGATAATGAAAATTTGTATCAAATGATGGTACTGAAGAGGAATTTTGCTCTTCTACTTGTTTCTGTGGCGTTTACATCAAGGAGGTTTCTGCTGGATTGTGCCCTTGCCTGGTGGAGGAGTGCAGAGTGCTGCATGCAGAGCAGGAGAGGTAAGAACAGGGGAGAAAATCAGCATGAATTTAAAATAAAAATATGAATAGATGGCCACAGCTGGTACCATCAATCAAATCACTAGGCTGGAGAGAAATGGCAATTAGTAGACAAAAGCAGCCTTTGCCTATAGTTATATATAGAAATCTTACCAAGGATGTGGTTCAGCTGATCAAGATAGTGTTTTCCTGGAAAGATGGGTCTGTTTGATAGCATCTCCGCCAAAATACAGCCTACAGACCAGATATCAATAGATTTGGTATAACCCTACAAGTAGAAAAGTTGGGGGAAATCACTTGTTGCTAGCATTTGCTGTACTGTTCAACAGACTACAATTTAAGAGAGCCAAGATATGGTAATTTTGAAATCCAGAATTCCAGTCCTAGCCCTTGTGATGAATCAGAATTTATATAACTGTTCTTGAACAATGAGGCAAGCACTGTGTTTTATAAATATGAAGGGTAAGCACAAAGGTACAGAAGACACCTACAATGCAATCTATGGATGATTACTAATAAGTCAGTCTCAATGTCTATATTTGCTTATCACAGAAAACCACAGTTCAGCCATGAGAAGTTTAGAAGCTTCTTCTTTTGATTTAAGCACAACTTGCCATGCTGTTGGGACTGAGACCTACTATTAAGCTTAGCCACAATTAGTCTTAACAAGCCAACGTCAGTAGCAATAGTGTCAAGCTGCCTTGTTTTAAACTAGCTGTCGTTAAGAATAACCACAGTTGGTTGGTTCGGAACATTATGAACGGTCGCTAAGTAAAAGCTACCAGATTCCTTATCGCCATGTAGGAACAAAAAAGGGGAGGGGAGCATGTAAGCCTGAGGCTCACTACAGCCATTTCCTGCTTATTCACATCATGCTAAACTATGGTTTATCATAAGGTGCATATTCAACCATTGCTTTCAGCTGGACTCACTTGCACTCACCCTGACATGTGTGCATGGGAATGCAGTCTTAGAAACATAAAATACAAACTTTATCTAATTGTTACCATGTGAAACCCACAAAGATTACTCTTATTTTTTTCATTCCGAGCCCTAAAGCCAGTGTGATCTTTTGATATAAAACAAAGTATCAGGAAACTCTGACTTCAATGATTGCTGAGTTAAGCAAGCCACACACTTAGCCTGAGCTGCTCATGTGTAAAATGGTACTAACTTCTGATTTCATATGAAAATAATCAGCATATTTTGCACACAAAGAGATGATACAGAAATAATTAAAAACCTGATTAAAAATTGGATATGGATTTCTGAAGTGCACTAGAACTTTGGATATACCTCAATGCGTAGGATTTGAGATATACATGCTAAAAAGAATGGACAAGTATTAGAACATGGTCCATTGAACTT